TGTGATGTCCCAAAATAAGCAACCCACTGCCTGCACAGCATTTGAATGGAGTCCACCTGTGTGGAATTGTAGTGCTACATAATCTTAGATTAAATACATGTTTCAGAAAGACCCCATATTTTGTTGGAAAGTGGCGCAGTGGTTTAAACCACTGTGCTGCTGAGCTGGTAGATCGAAAGGTCGCTGATTCGAATCTGCACAACGGGGTGAGCTCCCGTTGCTCCATCCCAGCTCCTGCCAACCTTGCAGTTCGAAAGCATGCAAATGCAAGTAGATAAAAAGGTACCACTTCGGTGGGCAGGTAACAGCGTTCCGTGCACTTTGGTGTTTAGTCATGCTGGCCACAGGACCACGGAGACTGTCTGAGGACAAACACTGGCTCCCTCGGCTAGGAAATGGACTGCCCCCTAGAGTCAGGCATGACTGGACTTAATGTCAAGGGGAAACCTTAACCTTTACTTTACCTTTATATTTCGATAAATCACATCATGAAGAGCAAGGAGCTACCAAATAAACTTGGGATAAATTTGGACAAAAGCACCAATCAGGGTTTCATTATTTAAAAATCTCACACATCTGGAGTATTCTTAAATCCATTATTACAAAATGCAAAGAACATGGCTCAGCTGTGACTCTACCTAGAGAAGGCCTTCCACCAAAACTCGGTGACTGGGTAAAGAGGGCATTAGTCAGAGGAACAATCAAGAGGCCAATGTTAACTCTTTTCAGTCTTGAAAACAATTGAAAGTAGAGAAGCCATTCTGTCTTTTTTCCTTCATCATTCAATTTTCTGCCAAGGCTTAATTCCTACTTGTTGGTCATTCATATCTCCATATGTTATAAAACCATTGTTTTCCGTAAATGCTTGTTATGGTATACTTCTATTGGAGACATCAAAGGAGAGACTGGAGGGCTAACTCTTTTTCTTACAAAATGCCAAATTCTTATTAAACTGTTTCTAATTCATGACTTTTATTTTGTGTTGAATTTCTTTGGTTGATATCTTGGCTGACAAATAATTATGTAATCCTCCTTCTAAATCTTCTGTTTTCAATTTTATTAATCTTCCATCAGGATTTTTAATTTTTATGACTGTAAAGGGAAATGCACTTAGGAAGAGGCACCATAAGAGAGCTGATAGGATTTGTAAAGTTGATTTTACAGCAAAAAGATTATTTATTAGGAAAGATTTACAAGTAATTACTGCAACATGACACTGAAACTGGACAAGTTAAAACAAGTATAAGATGGATGCAGAATTTTGGAGAAGAAATACCCTTCCACCAGTGGGAAACCTTATGGATGAAAGAAATAACATTTAGAACTAGTCAAGCACTAATAAGAGAAAATTGGTACAAGATTTTTTTTTTGTTGGTCCATTGCCCCAAAAACAATTGAGAAAATGGGCAAGAATTATAATGGAAAGTGCTGGAAATACAAGGAAGCAGAAATGTCTTTTTACCATATGTGGTGGATGTGTAATACAGTGAAAACATGGAAAGAAATACAGAAAAAAAATTAAAATTAATTTCCTATGAACATGAAGAATATGTTATTGAGTATTCTGCCAGAAACTCTTCCAAGAAATACGGGAAGAATTTAAATATAAGGTAACAGCAGCTAGAGTTACAATTGCAACAAAATGGAAAGTGAAAGTCTGCTCAGCTAATGAAGACTGGAAAAATAAGCTAATAGCAAAATTAACCAGCTATGTAAATAGAAGACTGGCCAAATAATTTAATGATAAATGGAAAACTTATTATGCATATTTTACTTAATAATTGAAAGAAAAAAATAGAACTCATGTAAGGATGATTTAGCTGATACATTTACTAATGAACAATATAAATAGAAAACTGGTTAAAGAATTTGGTGATAAATGGAAAGCCTATTAAGCCTTTATTCAGCAATTCAAAGAAAAAACAGAACCTATAGATATTATGTATCTGTACAATGATCAAATTAGTACAATTCCTCCTTGAATTTAACTTCTTTTTTTATGATATTGTTTTATTTGGTAAAACAAGAGGAAAAATAAACTGTTTCTGAGTTTGTGGAAATGAATTATTTTATTTATTTATTTATTTATTTATTAAAACATTTTTATGCCGCCCCATTCGCTGAAGCCTCTGGGCGGCTTACAACAATAAATTAAAATATAATCTTAAATTAAAAAAATATAAACATTAGATTAAAAATACAAAAATACAATATAAAATAAGCCGCCCTGGCCAGATAAAATCCAATAATATTAACAGTTAAAATGCTGCTTAAATAAAAAGGTCTTCGCCTGGCGCCGAAAAACAAATAACGATGGCGCCAGGCGGACCTCTCTTATTTTTATTATTATTATTTACTTGATACCCATGTCAAAGCAAATTTTTATGTAATAACTATTAGTTGTAATTAAATATTAATTTAACTGCATATTTTAACTAAGTATTAACATGTCAAAGTTTTAGTTACAAATTTGGTAGATGTAATAACTATTATCAAGTTTTATTATTACATGCATCTAGTATTATATGTAATTTTTGTACAAGGTTCCTTGATAACGTTCCCCTTCCCCTTCCTCCCCCCCCCTTTCCTTTCTTTTTATCAATAAATAATAAGCATAATAATGAGGTCAGTGGTAACTCTTCTCACATTCAAGGCCACAGACCATTCCTTTGCAAAAGCTCTTCATTCTCCAAAGTACACACAGTAAGCACAATCACATAGAACGAGTCTCTGAGCATGCCCAGAGCAGTTTTTTTTTTTAAACCCAATCTAGGAACTACTTTTGAGAATCCTCTTTTTGGGGGAGGATTCTTGGAGGGCCCTGTGGAGGACCAATTGGGAGGCAGGAAAGCCTCTTCTCTGTACACTGCCCTGCTAGTTGGCTAGTTCTTCTCTCCCAACTCCAGGTCATGGGGGTCAAGAGTTGTACCAGGCTTGGCTGGCTCCTGGAGCATCTGTCCCATGCTCCCTCTCGACAGCTGTAGATTCTGACTGTTCTCAGAGTCTGCCTGAACACCTGGAGAAGGCAGCCTTGGTATAATCCCTCCACTTCTCCCATCTCAATGTCTGGGAGTATCAGTTCCCAGAGCCCCTCTTGTGGATGAGTTATAAGAAGAAAGCCATTGCTGAAACAAATTGTTATCAAATCTGTTTGGAGTTTGTCAAAAAGCTTGTGGGAGACACACCAAACATGTGAAAAGGTCTTTAGTCTGATGAGGCCGAAGTAGGACTTTTTGACCTTCTTGCAAAATGCTACATGTATGCAATGCGCAGTCAACAGTGCTCATTGACCTGAGAACACTATCACTATGATAAATCAAGAGGGTAGTAACATCATTTTGTGGGGAATGTGTTTCTTCAGCAGGGACTGATACACTGTTGCTGATTAAGGGCAAGATGGATAGAGCCAAATACAGAGCAATTCTAAAGGAAAACTTCTTTCAGTTTGCAAATGATCTGGGACTGGAGAAGAGGTTCATGTAAATGATCCTGAATACACAGCCAAAATAATACTTTGTATAATCTACAAACAAAAATGACACAGAAGGGCTCAATCAAAGCTGAGACCTTACTTCAATGGAGAAACTGTGGCAAGACTTCAAAGTTGCTATTCACCAATGGTCCCCATCAAACAGAGTTGCAGCAGTTTTGCCAGAAACAATGGGAAACCATTGCATGATCCAGATTTGCAAAGCTGGTAGACTCCCCCATGAAGACTTGCCATTTTTACCCAGTATTGACTTGGAGTGGAAGTCGTGGGGAATATTTATGCAACCAAGAAGTGCCAATTTGTTTTTGTTCACTTAACTTTTGTGCCACAATAAAATATTTTGCACCTTCACAGTGTTGAATATCTTGTATATATCAAGTGGTAACAAAGCCAATTAGATTCATTTCAATTCTGGCTTTTAACATGACAAGTAAAAAGTTAAATGTGTGCATGCTTTTGCAAGGCACTGTATGAGTGAGGGGCAATTATATCCATACAGCAGCTGAATGTCATCTGCTGGCTAAGCAAATTCCCCCTCCCTCTCAAGCCTACCCTATCCTGCTGCAGAGGATTGGAAGACACTATGAAGGAGATTTTGGAGTTGTGTGGGAAGTTGCAGAGGGAGGAGACAGTGCTAAATTCCACTGCCCAAGCAGGCTTTGTGAGGTTCTGAGGCAGCACCTGGGCTCCCTCTTCTGGCCAGAGACCAGAATAGCAGCCCTGGAGGTTGTAGCCCTGGGTCCACGGTCAATCGCAGCCACCTGGGATGTTACAGGCACCACCTGGGAGCCCTGAGGGAAGAGCTATATAAGAACCGGCTCTTCCCTTCAGATGCAGCCTTAGCAATGAAGGGTCTTGATGTTGCCTGAGTGCCCTGTGCCTTCTGGGGCCAATCTCTGATGGCTCCATTACCTTGCTCCTGCCTCTGCTTCTGGGCTGTGCCCAGCTTTACCTGCTCTGCCTTCCGCTATGGTCCCAGATGTCCACTTCCCCTTGGCTTGTCTCTCTCTGGCTTTTGACTGCTGACTGGCATTGACTGCTCTGTTCTATTTGGATTGGCCTTCCTTGCACTTCTGTCACCCACCTTGATCTCTGGACTGCCTAAGATATGGGATGGGTTGATTAATTTTTACAGAACTACTCTGAAGTATGAGATTGAAGAGTGCTTATATAACTGTTTGATCAATAAGTTGTTAAACTGAAGTAGTATGGCTAAAATCAATGGAATATTTGGTTTGAATCCAAGTACTTTGACTTAACTTTGTGGATTGGGGTGTAAATTGAAAAGATTTACTATTGTAATTATTCTTGAATTATCCTGTTATGGTTTAATTTATAGCTTATTAGTGTTATTAATTATTCTGATCTAACAGTAATATAGTTTCCCAGTAGAACTATTGATACCACATGCTCTACAGTAATTTCCTTCATAGATGACTGTATTGTTTTAGCTTTTCTCTGTAATGAGTAACCAAAAAGAGCATTCACTTGGCTGAACATTTATACACTTACTGTAAGGTAGTGAGACTTAAAATTGTGTTTTGATATGGTTCCCACATTCTTATTTTTTTAGATTGGTTTTAGAACAACATGCCTATCATCAAAGTGCCAGTGGTATACAAATTTGGTATTGTATCCAATGATGAACATCAAAAACTTCTGCAGAGACTGCTGGCTAAACACCTGAAAACATCTTCAATTAAGAAGAAACAAAAACATAAGTAAGTTCAAAGAAAGATAGAACAGTATTATTTTTTGTTACTTGCTGGTGGTATGCGGGCAAAGGTTTTCAATGTTTATACAGAACTCTTGAGTTTAAACTATGCCTTAAATCGTACCTTATTAGCAGCAGACCACATTCTTATTTCCTTAAGAATCCTGCTGAGATTAGCTCTCTATAGGAGCTATCATTGGTGGACTGTACCTGTGGACTTTGCCCTTGGGACACTTTCTGTAGCAGGAATGCAGAATGTTTCAACCTGAGGGCTGGAGAAGCTTTTGGGGGCCAGGTTTCACTGGTGGGGAGGCTCAAAGGCAAAAGTGATGGGGTCAAAACTGCACTTATATTAAGCTGAAAGGTCTAACTGCCAGTACTTAAACCACAGGAGATACATTTCAACCTCCCGAGAGTCAGGAAACTGCAAAAAAGCTAGGAAGCTATGAAACAGTTGGTACTGGGTGGTAAAGAGATGAGGCTGGGGAAGGGACATGGCCGTCTGGGGAAATCCAAAGGACTGAATTGGGACCCTGGGCCTGAGCTTCTGCACTCCTGGCCTAGAGCATCCATAGCGAAACTTTTGCCTGCAGATACAACATGGTCAGCAAGGCCTCCCCATCCAGCTCTCTAGACTCTTTCCCAGGCTCCACCTTTGTTTTCCATCCCCCTTTTGGCCACTGTCTTGGTACATGGTAACAGAGGGCTTTTATTTTCCTTCCTTCCACTTTTTTTCTTCCCATGCAGTTTGCTGGTTTCCCGGACTGCATGCCAGACTGCAGCACAGAAAAGTACAAATGCAAACTGCCCAAGGGGAAAAGAGTGTTTGCTCCCTCTGCAACTTTTAAATATGTCCCTGTATGTGCAATGGATGAAAGATTGTGTGTGTGTGAGAGAGAGCGAGAGCGAGAGCGAGAGCAAGAGAGACCAGGCAAGCAGTGAGGGTGGCCTGACTCAGAGGTGGCATTCCCTTCCAGTGTCCTTGCTCAAAAAGGTGACTGCCCACCTCCCAGTCACACAGAGTGTCCTCTCATTGCCAAAGGGAAACCCATTTGGTTCTAGTGGACTGCCTTTTGGGTCTCTCTGAGGTCAAATCCAGGACATTTAGGTTGTTTTTAACATTGGCCATGTGTTTATTTTTTGACTTCCATTTTCTGAGTGTTTGTAAACTACCTAGGTTAGTTCCAGAAAGGCAGTATAGAAATGTAATGAATCAATCAGCCAGATAGTCAGTTAATCAAACTGAGTGAGTTTAAAAGGGAAAGCTGTGAAAGCACTGTAGGAAATTTTTAGTAGTTATGTCTTAAATACATCCTAAAATGAGTATTCACCCCTGCCCTTATTATTTTCTTTAATTATGTTACACTGGGTTCTTGCTATTGCATTAATGCTCTTGATAACAGCAAATTAGAATCATTTTCTGTGAAGCCTAGTTCTAGAATACTTAAGATAACAGAGGTATAAGATATAAAAAAGATAATTTTTGTACTTTCTTGTTAAGAGGTTTAATACTTTCACTTAAAATAATCAGTTCCAGCTGCTCATATTCTTGACAGAGTGACTTGGAATCTTAACATTTGCAGTTCACCTTGTAGTTCATAAAGCATAAAATCAGATGCTAACCTGTTATATAGGAAATAATTTTTAAAAAATCTTTATCCATACTATTGTTATCAGTTGGCAGATTTATAATTGTAACAAGGATGGTACAGAATGGTGGTAATTAATAAAGAATTCATATTTTACCTGTTAGAATGCATTGATTTCTGATTGATTTATATCTAAGTTGTTCACCGGCATTCATTTGAGGAACTGTAACTCTGGAGAGTTCTCTTTGGCTCCAGGTGAAATTCTTAAACAGAAGTGCCTTGTAATTTGGCAAGTTTACCCCTGTTTAATGTTGTGTATACACCTGGTATTTGTGCTGGGAAGATACAAACTGCCTTGGCACCCTACCACTTGTATCTTCAGCGCAGCATATAGAGGTACAATCATTAAACAGTATGCATAATTTCTTACAGAGAAATGTATTCCATGTAGGAATTTCATTATCTTTGAAGCAGCACTACGATTAACTATAAGAACAGTGTTTAATCATCAATATTTTATGTTAGCTGCTGTTGTTTCACTCTAAAAAGCATTATAATCTTAGAAACAATGTAGTTACTCTTCTGCCTCCATGGCAGTGGGGGGGAACCTATGGCACGCATGCTGCAGCAGGCACGCAGAGCCCTCTGTCAGCACACGAGCCAAGTCACCCCAGCATTGCCCCAGCAGCCAAGCATCGGATAACAGCATACACAGGGGCCATGTGCATGCTTGGAAAGGAGTAGTGGCGCCAGACGATGTCACAAGCCATGACTAATTAGCCGCAACTCATCTGAGCTTTAGCATGGCCAGTCAGTGCGCTGCCAAGGATATATGTATAGATTTGCTTGGACTGGCTGTGAGGTGTTTTTTCTAAACTAAAACCTCCGTTTTCAGGTTTTATTGCAGTGTTGACACTTTGCGATAAATAAGTGGGATTCGGGTTGCAGTTTGTGCACTTGGTCACTACTCTGTGATTAAACAATACAGTTGTCAGTATTGTAAAGTGGCAGTGTTGCTTTTCAGTACCTAGAAACAGGAAGTACACATTTTGCCCTTTCAAAGGCATACTATTTTGCTCCCAGACTCAAATATTAACATTTTTAAAAGTTGCCTTTCCTTTAAATATCAGCTATTGATTAAAATAGTTATGTTACTGTCATGTTAAATATTAGTTAAGATGAGTTGTGTTAGGCTATGTGACCAATTCAACCTTCCAGTCTTTCTGCATAAGACTACATCATACTACTACAGCATACATTTCTGGTAGTAGGTATCAATCAAATGATGAGGCCAAAGTTATTTTGTAGAATTCATACTAGTAAGAACAACACAAATGAGAGATGATTTTTCATTGGACTTTCCTGTAACTTAGGGAATAATAGGACTTGCTTTTATTCCTCTTTCTACAGCTGGAGGAAATCTGAAATTATAATCTAAATCAGGGGTCTCAAACTCGTGGCCCACGGGCCAATTGCGGCCCATGGGACGATATTTTGTGGCCCCTACTTGATATCAAAGTTTAGTGATAGTGCGGCCCGCACGTTTTTCTCACACGCACCTGTGTGAGTTGTTACCCTGGGTGTAATGTTCCCTCTAAGCTGTGCGCCAGGACGGGCGGGACTTGGCGGAGGGGCCCTGTGGCCTTCAAAGCACCGGTGGCGCCCAGGCCAGCCTCCGGGAGAGACGCGGGATGAGCGGCCCACCACTGCCGCGGTGGTGGAATACTTGATGCGGCCCAGCCTCACCCAGACTCTACTTCCAGAGGCCCCCAGGTCAGTTGAGTTTGAGACCCCTGGTCTAAATCTTCTTTTTCATCTAATGTACTCTGTATCTTACCATTCTAAAAGTTGGAGTGTGCTTCTAGATAAGACCTCTATAGCAACAGCCCTCTTCACAGAATTTTGGGGTGCTTCTTGACATTGTCACTTTTCATGTGTAAGCTTCCTATGTTTTCCTACTACTTCTTACATCTTTTTTTCTTACTGCAGAAAATCTAAGAAGAAAAAGAATAGCTGCACATTGCCTTCTTACTGGTAGTTTAGGAGTCTTCTGCCTGGAAGCACACAGAGTCAGGAAACCATTTTGATATGTATTCATCATCCCTAAATGATGTGTCAAACTGCTCCTGAAAGAGAATTTTGGAACTTGCCGTTTGCCACAGGGTACCTGCTGTAAAAAATTCATTAAAAACTTGGTAACAACTTTCATAAAAACAGCTTAAGCAGACAGAAGCTAAAATCCAGCATAACAAATAAAATAGTCATTTAACGTAGCTAGAACCATACGCTAGAAAGCCTTCTAGATATAGAACACATCACCAACCTTACCTAAGAGGGAGGGCGGAATTAGTGGAGAGCCTCTAAAGAAGTAGGTTTTGGGTAGGATCATGTGGTAGATGGTAGTCCTTATAGTGCCAAGTATCCAGCAATTGCTAACTGCCCATCAGTCAACCATCAGGCTTCAGCAAGGGGCGGCATAGAAATGTTAATAATAACAACAACAACAGCAACAACTAACCAATTTGTCACAAATCCAGGAAGCTTTGGGGTACCCTTAAACTAGAGTTCTTCATTGTGGCCTCTGTGCATCACACATATGGGTGCTGCGCCTGCGCAGTGCCTAGGCCAGAAGATTAGAAAGCTAACAGTTTTTGGCGGGAAAAACTCCGCTCCCCTCCCCCCCTTGGTGGTATAAATAGAGCGGACTGTCTGCCATTTACTCAGTCTTTGCGACCGCTGTGCCTCATGCCTGTTCATCCCTCGCTTAGATCTTTGTGCTTCTTGCCCGCTTTTACACTTATCTCTTGTTAAACTATTCTTATACTCCAAGTTTGTTTCTCTTCCCAGTTCTTCATAAATCCTTCCCTCATTTCTAAAACAAAAAACAAAAAATATTATCTTACCCTCAATGCTGTCTTCTTTCTTCCTTTTCGCGATGGCGCAGTGAGCGGCATTCTGCAATTGCATCGAATGTGGGTTCAAATGTCGCCTGCAGATCCACATGATCTATGCCTCCTCTGCCTTGGCAAGGGGCATAGAACTGACAAATGCGGCCATTGCTTGGTGTTTACCAAGCAAGCGAGGAAGAATAGGGAGAATCGTCTCCGAAAACTCCTCTGGGACCAGGCCTTAATGCAATCCAACCAACTGCTTTTACGGCCTGGTTCCTTTTCAGCCGCGCCTCCTCAGTGCTCCACCCCCACTGCGAGCGCTCCTGTGAAGCGCCCTGCTTCGACTTCCGCCACTCCTCCGCAGTGCCCTTCGGACGAAGGCGCCACTTCTCTGGAGGCCCAGTTGCCACCTTCCTCTCCAGCTAAGAAATGGGAGAAGCGCAAACACACTGGCTTGGATAAACCTTCCACTCATAAGAAGCCAAGGAAGGAGAAGGCGGACAAGCCCGCTCACAAGAACAAAAAAC